GAAACGGCTCTGAATCATAGAGTACTACAAGATGGAAAGGATGTCCGGATCCAATCCCCACTCAAAACACATGCTACAGCATTTCAAGGAAGACAAGGCTAGGGCAGCCTAGGAGAACTTCACATTCATATTCTCCCCTCACTATGGGTCACGCATTTCTTCCAGTCACCAGAATCCAGTCCACAGCTCAGAGTAATCTTTATGATCTATATACATGTAAGAGATACTATGATTTAATTTAGTAAAGTTAGGCATTGCACTTTTGCTGTAGACATAGAGGCTGACATCTTGGCGACATGTTTCCTCTCAGTTAATAGGCTATGGCAGGAGGCTTTTATCCTACCCCTAAGTTCATTTTCTAAGATACCACATATTACCATCTTTAACCGTAATGAGATTCACCTCTTCACTGCACCCTTTCTTTCTCCTTTTATAGAAGGGAGTTGGTTACCAGCAGGCAGAGGTTTTCGCAAAGGGAAGTGTGAAGACTTGCAAAACCCAGAACTTCCTCTGTGACTACCTAAGGACACAGTTCTGGTTACTGTCAGACTCTTTGTTTTAGCCATATATGGCAATCCCATAAAAACCAGAAGACAAATCAGGAAAGTAACTGCAAGGGTATAGCTGTCAGACCAGCCAATTAACTGCAGAGCTGAATAATACGTATATAAAAGGGCATCAGTGTGTGGGTTTGGACTATACCTTTTAAAGTCAAAGGAATATTGTGCTGAGGTCACGCTACGAGATGATCAGTGAGCTGAGCCTACAACTAGTTTCATCAAATATCAACATTTTTGCAGAGTTTCACTTACTGTGACTGTAGTTGCCTTGTAAAAATTCAAGTCTACCAGGAAACACAGAGCCTAATGGCATTAAAAAGAGGTACGATGACTTTTGTGTTCACTAGACCCTAAAATATGAACAAGGATCTTTTGTAATTTATCTCCACTATTTTCATGAGGCCAAGTTTGACCTCTTTTGCAAAGGCCAGAATTCTGCAATATGTGACTAATAACTGGGCATTTAAAAGTATCAGATGTGTTCCCTCCATGTGACTTAAAATGCTGCTTATTTAGACTACGGGCTGGAAGAAAATTTTGAAGCCCAATAGTTTGTTCGAAGTATAGTCCCAATCTCCCCTTCTCAAAAGGGGAATATACCCCAAAAGGGGAATATACCCCGAAAGGGGAATATACCCCGAAAATACCCTGCTGA